GATCTTCTGGGGGTGGGGCCTGTTGTAGTGATTCTCAAGTGTCTTTGCCCCAGGCGGAGTTTCACCGCCCTTACCGGGGCCTGGCTGAGTAATCCACTCGAGTTTGCTTTCGGGAGCTTTTGTTCCCTGAGCGCTTTCCGTAGAGTTCCGGAGGACGGGAATGAAGATGTCGGCCTCCCAGTCTCCGGCCCGGAGGAGCCGAGAGTCTGGGGCCCCACTCCTCAGTGCATCCTCAGAGAACAGCGCCCAATTGCTCCCGTCACCCTGGCCTCTGGCCGCGCTCCGAGCTGACCGAGCCTGCGACCGGTTCAAGGTAACCCCGAGCTGAGAGTCACTCCTCGGCTCCGTCTCTGTAGCCGGCTTCCCCGTTCTAATACCTGTAAGCTCTGCGACACTCAGACACCCCGATCCTTCTGTGACCCTGCGGGACCTGAGGCCACACTGGCCCCGTGTGGGCTTCACCCCGGTTAAGCCTCTGGAGCGATGTCCCTCAGCGGAACAGACTTTTAAAAGTCCTGATTTTGTGCTCCGTGGCTCCGCCGCTTGCCGGGAGCCGGCCCCTCCCCCCGCGGTCTATCTTCCCGTCGCTTTGGATTCACTTCTCTGCCAGTCCTACCTTTTAGAAAGTGGTTGATTTTCTGTTTCTAGAATTGCTGTTCTTCTTCTCTTCAATCTCCCGTTGGATTTGTAGGTGTTTGCAATCTTTAGATAAGCTATCTAGCTGATCTCCCGCTACCTGAAGTAGTCTCAGCCTGCTACTTCTCTGCCATCTTGACTCCTCCCCCTGGTTTGGGTTCACTTTTAAAAATTTTCTTCCCAGGCACTTGGGTGGCTCAGTAGGTTAAGCATCTGCCTTTGGCTCAGGTGATGGTCCCCGAGTCCTGGGATCAAGTCCTGCATTAGGCTCCCAGCTGGCTGAGGTAACTGCTTCTCCCTCTCCTGCTTCTACCCCTCCCCACTACTCGTGTTCTCTCTCTCACTCTCTCTTTTTCAAATAAACAAAATTTTCTTCTCTTGGTGGGCCTACCTCCATCTATTTAACACACTTGATGCCTGAATCCCAACAACAAACAGGCTTCAATTCCAGGATGCTCCTCAGGCCCAGTGTCAACCAATGGATTAAAACAGAGCTGTGTGAGATGGGTGTTGCCTTCCTCTACTCACCAGAACTAGGCAAGCCTGGCTCTAGCCTAGACAAGACCCCTGTTACTATTCTCAAACCACTCCAGCTCTCACTTTGTTTCCTCAACCCAGTGAGCTCCTTTCTCCTTCAGGGACTTTGCCCCTCCTTTCCCTGCTCTGGGGACTCCTGTCCTGTTGATGGCTCCTTGTGGAGTCACAGAACTGTCACCTCCCTAGAGAGGCATTTTCTTGGTCACTATTACCTTGCCATTTGTTTTCTCCATAGCACTTTCCCAAACTGTGCTTCTTTTGTTGACCTACTTGGTTTGTGGAAGAGCCACGAGAGCAGCGTCCTTGCCTGCTTCCCTACAGTATCCCTGTGCCAGGCGTTTTGAGTGACAGAATAATCAACAGTAACACTTAACACTGGTGGCACACCTGCTAATCGCCAGGTGCTGTGCTGAGAGCTTTTCCATGTACTAACTCATCTTTTTTTTTTTTTTAAAGATTTCATTTATTTATTTGACAGAGAAAGAGAGATCACCCGTAGGCAGAGAGACAGGCAGACAGAGGTGGAAGCAGGTTCCCTGTTGAGCAGAGAGCAGACCAGGGCTTGAACCAAAGACCCTGAGACCATGACCTGAGCCAAAGGCAGAGGCTTAACCCACTGAGCTACCCAGGCGCCCCATGTACTAACTCATCTAATCTTAACTCCAAGCCCAGGTAGTTGAGTACTTTGAGGCACTCTCTTTTTGTAATAAGGGGTATTGAGGTTAGATAAGAGCTGTGTCTTGTCCAAGGCACAGAGCTAATGGGTGTTGGTGTGGGGATGCAAACCTGGCAATCAGATCCAGAGTTCAGGCACTGAACTACGATACAATAGGGCCTCCTAAATTTCTCTATTTTTTGGTCATTTTGTCCCATTCCAGGGATAAGGCAAAAGAATACCATTGTCTGCTCATGCTCACGCAGAGAATGCTGCCACTTTGGCATACACTCAGAGGGTGTGTCTATAGGACCCTGGTTCTGGTGGAAAACAGACAGGGGCAGCTAAATCCCTCTGGGGTACTGGCCCTGCCAGATTGTAAAACTTAATATCATTATACATATACAGCTATGACAATAACCCCCAAAGAGGTGTGGAAGAATGGATCTGAATAGGGAAGAGAAAATAGATCCAAGTATGCATGGAAACTTAATATAGGGCCAAGATGATATTTTACTTCATGCAAAAGTCACATTTACTTAATGAATGCTGCTGAAATACCTAGAAGCGAAAAAAATGGGATAACTACAATATACCACATATAAAAATTGAAGAGATCATGTATCTAAATTTTAAAAATAAAACAATACAGGGACCCCTGAGTCGCTCAGTTAGTTAAACATCTGACTCTTGATCTCAGCTCAGGTCTCAATCTCAGGGTCGTGAGTTCAAGGTCCATACTGGGCTCCATGCTGGGCATGGGGCCTACTTAAAAATAAATAATAAATAAGTAAGTGCAAATAAAACAATAAAAATATGACCAGAAAATTTGGGAGATTGTGGTTATATAGTCATGAATTGGAAACAAGTTTGGAAGAGGTAAAAAGGCTGATTCATTAAGAGAAGCACTTATTTGGATACATAAAATTTTAAGATATGCTGTGGGAAAAGATACAAGCAAATTTTAAAATATACTGGAAAATGTCTTTGTTACACAATTATCTTAATTTGACAGAGAAAGAGAGATCACCAGTAAGTATTACCCGTAGATATTATTTGTGAAGTAATATCTTTAGTACCCTATTATACCAAAAAAGTCTCCTAAAACTAAGACCAACACTCTGGAGATCTGAAGGACAGTGGGTCCATGCAGAAGGAAATGTACCTAACTGACAGACAGGTTCTGACCTTCTTAGGAATCAGGAAGATGCCAGTTAAAGAAGTGAAACCCCATTTCCCACACGACCAAAACATTTCAGGGCTGCTGAAGATCAGCAAAAATGGTGATGTTCCTCCATTGTTGGTAGAAAACTTGGTTAGGCTCTGTTGGGTGGTCACAAAGATATCCAGGCCTTTGTTGGAGGGATGAACATGAGGAAAGGGCTCACGTGAGGAGAGAAGATGAGCCAAGATAGCTAGTAGGCAGATGGAACTATCTTGAAGGTAGAAACGTGATGGATTCAAGGCTCACTCAGGCAAAGCGTACAGACAGAGAACAGAAGGAGCTAAAGATGGATCCATGAGAGTCATGAACCTATAATGGACTCAAAGAAGAATAACCAGTCAAGGAGACTGGCCCATGTAATTAATGTTCACCCATTTCGGGGGTCATTTTAATTGAGTCTCATACTTACAACTTGTAGAGTTATGGGAAGTAAACGTATCCTGGGACCTTATCTTCTTCTTTTCCCACCTTGCCCCTTCTGCCCCTTCACGAGCCCAAATGCCTTCATTCATTCAACCTTAGAACCAGAATGCTAAAGACACTGGCTGCCTTCACCTCCTGGCTCGACCACTTACTAGATAGCATGCAACCTGGGGAAATTTACTAAACTTCTGTCTTTTACAGGATTATTATGAAAAATAAATGGGTTAATACCTATAAACCACTTAGTACATCCAATAACTATTAGCTAGTGTTGTTAGTATTAGCAAGTCTTCATGCTACTGATTTTCAAATACTAACTCATTAGACTTTATATAATTTCACAAAGGCCCTTTGAGTTTGGTACTGTCAGGATTCCCTTTAACAGATGAGGAAGATGGAGCTTAGAAGGGGTTTAAGAACCTGGCCACACATCAAGCACTTAGTACGAGGTCTGTGGTCAGGTCTCATTAGTGGACCACTCAGGCCAAGCTCTCGGCTTTCCATCATTCTGCCTCTCCTCTCCTTCTTCTAAGGATGGCCATGTTAGCATATACCAAGATCATGACAGATCAATGATAGAGTTTAGTTAATCAGGTTTATGTGTCTAATTGTGGCATGAAGTTCATGGTACCACTTCCTTTTTTCTTCTTTTTTGCAAGGTACCTCTGTAGGGGCGCCTGGGTGGCTCACTGGGTTAAGCGTCTGAATCAGGTCGTGATCTCAGGGTCCTGGCACGGAACCCAGCATCAGGCTCCATGCTCAGCAGGAAGTCTATTGAGGACTCTCTCCCTCTCCCGTTGCCCCTCCCCAACTCTCCAAAATAAATAAATAAATCTTAAAAAAAAAAATAAAAGTTATCTCTATATTCATTTTGCCTGTAAAGAAAATCCACGTACTATTTTCCCCCTGTGTCACATGACATCTTACTTTGGGGGAGAATGTCCCAGGTCATCAAAAGCATTAAAAGATGTTTCAGCCCTAGCCTTTAAGACCTGTGGGCACACATTCTCTCCAGAACAAATCCCTGGTAGGAGGAGGATGGTCCTGCATATGCTCTCTTGCCCATCCTCCCATGCACAGAAGATTGCCAGGGGCTTATTTCTCTTCTCTGGGAGATGTCTTTTCTGATATGAAAAATAATTCCGTTTTCTCATTTTAAGTACATGTATCCTATGTATGCTGCAGTCTCTCAGTGCCTGCCTGCCACACTGACACCATCTCCCACTTAATTCCTCTGTCTTTCCCCCAACGGGACAGGGCAGCAGCCTGTCCAGGCTTTGAAGGGCCTGGCGAGAGATAGGTTGTGTTCTTCTCCCCCGTTCCCCAGCAAAGGCAAGCAGTTACTCCCATGCCATCTCCCCAGGGACACGCTGCAGCCTGGAGCTGCCCCGGTTACTTGGTCTGGGCTTGTGTACAGCACTAATTCAATTTACAATGCAGTTACATAACTGTTCCCAATCTCCAGTTGACCTTGATGTCAAGCAGCGGTCAAGTTGTACCAACACAGAGAAAGGAGGAGGAATCTCTGGTTGGCCCTTGAGAACATTTTAGCTGGGGTTCTGGAATGGAATGTGGCACAGAAAGGCCAAACCAGACCAGTAAATTCTTTGAAAGGGTGAAAAGCAAGGGTTGTGGATTTCTGGAAGATGGATGCTGTTGGATTTCCGGAAGATGGATGCTGTTGACTCTCAGGGCAATCCTTTGTCACTCAGGATTCTGGTAAGCGTCCTCTGACCAAAGATAAGGGGGCTGTCTTCTTTCCCACGAATTGCTGTAAGTAAATGAGCCTTTTGGCCTCATGGGAAGAGCTCCTAGGAGTGTCCTCAGCTTGGAAACCTCTCAAGGGCAGACTTTCCGTGCATTCTTTTAAACCAGGGAGTCCTGGTTCTACTCAGTTCTAAATAGTGACAAGAATAGCTTCTGGTCTTAATAAAGCCAGAAAACCAGGGGTTTCAACATGAAAGCAAAAATACAAAGTAAAGCCTGAGCAAATTAGTCAAAATTTCAGAAATTCAATAGTATAAAAGCTCTCTGAGAGCAGCGATTATGTTTATTTTATTCTCCGTTGTATCCTTACACCACAGAGATCATCTGGCACAGAGTAGGTGCCGAGAGAATATTTGTTGAACGATGCGTAACATGATGGATAGTATCATTTATGGATAGTGACAATTGATCTTCTTCTAGTAAATTTGCCCAAGGCTATCATACCAAAATTTTCCAGAACTCTCTTTTACATATTTATTTATATACATATCGGTCTGACTATAATGTCAGATAAATATTATACAAAGTTATTATATATATGTTGTAACTCGATATATCTATGTCAGGATTCATGACCATTAACTGGTGTCTCACCCATGATCAGCACATCACTGGACTTTGCCTAGACTGGAAAGTTCTGCCTGAAACACACACTCATCTGCCTGTCCCCATGGACAGGTCTGGCTTCACGGGTGTGGGACTCATGCACACACATAAGGCCTCTTAGTAAGAAGGCCTCGGGCTTAGTTTAGTGCTCTGCTATCACTACCCTGAAATTCTTGGTGATAATTTTTGAACAGGAAGACCCCACTTTCATTTTGCTCTGGGCCTCACAAATTACATAGCTGATCCTGCCCAAGTATCCAGAGAGCTCGCATTATGATCTAGCAGGTAATGTCACCTACATGTGTTAAGAGCCCGTGGTGAGAAAAACAGCTGCTTAGTGAGCGAGCCAACCACGAGGATAATATACATATCCAGGAAGGCATAGTCTACTATTTACAAATCATTGAGAGATACTAAGTGATTCGTTAACCTCACTAATGACGAATGTGTGATCCATGCATGATTTGTAAAATGTAGGCAGGGATATAATTTATAAATTCACTGGTGGTTCTTCTCCGCTATAAACCATGTATTTCTGTTCCAGCTGTCTATAGCTACCTAAGTTCTAGCAATCTTTCCTGGGCCTATAAATATTCTTAAATCATCTATACTGCCTACCTAAATACTTTCTTGTAACACAAACCTGTCGACTGCTAACTATCTCTATTGCTTTGTCTATATCACATTTTAGAACTTGATCAAAATCAATTTGGGACTTTAATGCAGGCTGCCTAGTGCTTTTATTTTTTATTTTAATTTCTTAAAATATATATATTTTAAGATTTTATTTATCGATTTTACAGAGAGAGAGAGAAAGAGAGTGCATGCACAAGCAGGGGGAGTGGTAGGCAGAGGGAAAAGCAGGCTCCTCGCTGAACAAGGAGGCTGATACAGGACTTGATCCCAGGATCCAGGACTTGAGCCTAAGGCAGACACTTATCCGACTGAGCCACCCAGTCATCCCTATCTGGTGCTTTGAAAACAAGTGTTTTCATATCAAACTATGTCCATAATCTTGCTTCCCAGGAAGCATAGGTAGGGCAACATATGTAATGTGAATTTTTTTAAAGTACATAGCCTGGGACTAGGCTCATAGAGCCACTGAGTAAACACTTAATGAATCTAAATAAACTAACTAGCAATTACTAATTTCCTGGGTACCATATATTAAGACAGGTATAAATACCTTTCACATATCTTTTTAAAGTAGAAGTTAAGCTTTCTAAAGAGTGGTTTTGGCTCAAAAAATTGCTTAAGTTGCCATGATATTAGACAGTAGCCTACACACGCTTCTTGCATAAAATGAGTTCAAACCTCTCCGTATTTCCAAACTAGCGAGCTGAAAAAGATTTCAAGAGACGTCAGGCCTCTGAAACAAATGGCGATGGTCTTTCGGTCGATTTAATTTTCCGGAGGTCTTCCAATCTCAAAGCACACCAACTGCTCAGACCTTGTGTTACTGAGCCACTTACCATCCACTTGCAAATCAGAAAGTTTCCCATGTTTATAATTACAAAGGCCATTTTACGACGGCTTGAAAATTTATTTATTTATTAACATGTCATGCCCCTCAGCACGTTGGCTGATCAGAGCAGGTTGATTCTCAAGCACATCTTGATGCAAAGCAATGAAATCGTTGCTGTAAGTCGAGCTGGGGCTGGATCCTCACAGCTAGAGAGTTCTTAATTGCCTTACTCTCTAGATGGGCTTTTTCTGAAGTCTATTTATTTTGCAGTGGGGAAAAAAGTCTTAAAACTTTGCTTTCACTTCACCCTGAGAATAAGAAATAGGCAGATGGAAAATAACGAGTTTCTTCAATGCTGTCTTGGCTGGGAGAAATATTCTTTTTAGACTCCACATTTTTTCTCCATATTCCAGCAACACCAAAATCCTGTTTTTCATTAGTTTGATTCTCATTAGCTACACTTTGGTCCTCACAGGGTAGAGTGGATCACAGATGGGGGTGCCATCCTATTACGGTGCCCAGAGAGCAAACATATTCTCAAACTGTGACACTGAGAGAGAAGCGAATATTTAAACTCAGGCCCCCACATATATCCCAGGGAAAGGAGTCCTCCTCTTTTCTAGAGAGGCTCAAACCTTCTGTGTCTTCATTAAAAACAACAACCAAAAACTCTCAAAACACTAAAAGAATGCAATGAAATAATGACTTAGCACCTATAGATGGGCTAAGTTAAACAATCTTTGAAGGGAATCAACCTGGAGTGTTTAAATATCTATTAATTTATTTATGAAAAAAGGTAAGTCTATATGTCCAGACCTAACACACTGAAAAGACCTAACACATATGTCCAGGCCTAAATGGAAACAGGGAGACAAGTGAAACATATCTAGAGCTCCCATCATTTTCTGAAAGGTCTGCTTTTCATAAAAATCATTGCTTTGGGGAAAAATTCAATCTATCTTTTGCTGCAGGCAGATGACTCTCTTAGTTTCAAGGTTTCCCAATTCAGTTAGCACAGGTGTTTTCTCTCATGTCCTCCAAATTTGCCTGATTTTTAAAAGTTTCTTTATAAATGTTCATCTACATTCAAAACACACATACTTTCAAGAAATCTACATACCATAAAATAATGAAGGATTACAGTCAACTCCTTAACAACACAGGCTTGAGCCATGCAGGACCATTTACATGTGGATTTTTTTTTTCATCAATACACTGCACTTGTGGTAAATGTATTTTCTCTTCTGATTCTTAATAACATTTACTTTTCTCTACCTTGCTTTATTTGACGAATATAGTATATAATACACATAACATTTAAAATATGTGTTAATGGACTCTTAACATTATTGAAAGTGCTTCCAAAGGTCAACAGCAGTCTACTAGTAGTTAAGTTTTGGGGGAGTCAAAAGTTTTGGCTGAATGGCGGGTGGGAGTCTGTGCCCCTAATCCCTGCATTGTTCAAGAGTCAACTGTATTTGATTAGGTACTCATTCTAAAAAGAAAGGGGAAAAATAAGTGAGGAACTTGAAGGGATTGGTTAATGTAGGTGATCCACTAGGATGCTGGGACTAAGTGATCCTCATACCTGAAACCTGGAACAACACACCCTTCCTTTCAAGGGAGTTAGAAAACCTGAAGGGAGTTAGCTGGGAAGGGTGGCACAGAGAAGCAACCAAGTGGGCTTGACAGAGTGAGGAGTAGGACAAATCCAGCACGCAACCCTGACTTCCTGCTGATCAATTTCTAACCAACTGTTGGGAAAGGTTTCTAACTTATCCTGTGAACTAAGTTTTCAGACGCTCATGCCATCATGGATAAATACAAAGTTGACACTAACATTCCAAGATTTGGAGAAATTAAATGGATTCTTAATGACCTTAAATGAGAATTCATGAAATTCTCAGGAAACAGTTTTAATTCATTTTAATTAAAAGAGGGTCTATCACATATTATACGGGGTAAAGTGGAGGAGTTAAGACAGTGTCCAAAAGTCAAATCAAAATAGGTTGAGTTGTGACATTAAATAAGATGAAAATTACTAGCCTAGTATATATCCACTAATACTATATTCATAACCTTCATCTATGATTATAATTCCTTTTTTTAAAAGATTTTATTTATTTGACAGAGAGCAGGATCACAAGTAGGCAGAGAGGCAGGCAGAGAGAGAGAGAGAGAGAGAGAGAGGAGGAAGCAGGCTCCCTGCCAAGCAGAGAGCCCAATGTGGGGCTCGATCCCAGGACCCTGAGATCGTGACCTGAGCCGAAGGCAGAGGTTTTAACCCACTGAGCCACCCAGGCGCCCCTATGATTATAATTCTAATGGATTACCTGGCCCTATGGAGGCCTGGGCAGTCAGCTTTGGTCCAACCTGGCCTGCATCCCAAGAGAGCTCAGGCAAGCTAGGGCTAGTCCAAAATGGAAACCAAAGTTAGATTTGCATAGTAATTGAAAATATCTATAGATCTAAGTGAATATCTATTTATGTTCCTATCACATATTCACTATTATAAAAGAATGAATTCGGGAACACCTGATGGAAGAGATGCATAAGGCAAAGTATGTAGAAAGGGGTGTGGAGCTTCCATGCCCTCCCTTGGTGCCCCACTCTCCCAGGACCTCCACATGTTCACCAACCCACAAGCTCTCCCAACCCCATCCTTCTGGGGTTTTATGAAAGCTTCATTACATAGGCATGGGTGGTTAAATTGCTGGCCATTATTTGATTGAGTCAAGCTTCAACCTCTCACATCTCCCCAGAGGTTGAGGGGTGGGCTTTAAAGTACCAACTGTCTCATCGTGGTTGGTTCCCCCAGCAATCAGCGCCATCCTTGGGGGCTTTCCAAGTCACTTCTCCAATACAAACTCAAATGTGGAGGAAAGGGGTTTGTGATGAGTAATAAGACATTCCTTTCACCTTTATTCCCTGTAGCTATTTCAGGCATCAAGAACAAGAAACCAAATATTATAACAAAAGATGCTCCCATTGCTCTTCCTAAAAATTTCTTTCCAATTTTATTGAAATATCATTGACATATAATATTGTACTAGTTTAAGGTGCACAACACAATGATTCATAACACACATACACATATATAATGTAGGGAAGTGATTACTATAATAAGTTTTGTTGACATCCATCTCATCATATAGTTACAAAGTTCTCTGTGATGGGAATTTTTAGGATCTACTCTCCCGCCAACTTTCAAAGATGCACTACTGTATTGTTATTGCTTAGGCAGGCCCAAGGGTTTTAGGAGCTCTGCACCAGAAATAGGATGAAGACCAAATATGTAGTTTTTATTATAAATTATTATACCACGATTTTATATTATGCTATACTATATATGTAATCCCATTTTAGAGAAAAGGCCAGATCTGTTATTGATGCTAAAGAAAATCTTTTAAGTCAAAAAGATATGAAACACCACATGGCAGTTTACTGTACTTGCAGAAATATTTGTACAACTGACTTGGGCTGATAAGTTGAAAGCAACCCAGGGATAATGTCAGAGTGGTTGTCTAACACTTTCAGGGTGTCTAATGAGCTCTGCCTGAGTTGGGCAAGGAACTTCAAATGAGCAACTGTGACAAGTCAGGTTATAGAAGTGAGGGGAAGAAGGCATATGAGTCACAGGATGGTCTCTGAAGGTCAGGATGGAGAGAACACACCTGTACAATGTTGAGACTATCCTCTCCCTTCCGTATGGTATTTTTTGCATTTGGGGATTATTTCACAGGTTAATTTTTTTAAAAGATTTTATTTATTTATTTGTCAGAAAGAGCACACAAGCAAGGGGGTTGGCAGGGAGAGGGAGAAACGGGTTACCCATCGAGCAAGGAGCCAGATGCGGGGCTCAATCCCAAGACCCTGCAACATGACCTGAGCAGAAGGCAGACGCTTAACCAACTGAGCCACCCAGGTGTCCCTCACAGATTAATTTTAAAATTCTTTCCTGTTGAGACCTATGCTGGCAAGTATCTGCATATCTTGAACTACCTCACTTTTAAGGAAAATGAAATACTTTACAGAGCTCTTAAGGGTCCTTTCACCTTAAACTAGAATAAGGAAATTGTGTTTTATGATAAGAAAAAGGGGGGGTTGGGAGAAAGGGGCATCGGCAACCCACATCTTACACCAAGGCAAATCATTTAACTTAACAGTGTTGAAAGAAAGAAAAAGAGCTTGGAAGGAAGTCTTTAACAGGGCACGTATTGCATGGAGCACTGGGTGTGGTGCAAAAACAATGAATACTATTACGCTGAAAAGAAAAGAAAAAAAAAAAAAAAAAGAATCTCCAGGGGGGAAAAAAAAGTACTAAAGCTATTTACAAAGAAAACCAAATAATGAAAAATTGACCAAATTACATGCAGTAACTCTGTGCTTAGTAGCCAGTTAATCACGGTATCAACGCAGGTCTATCTAGCACCCAGTGTTTTGAGGGATAAATAACAGACAAATAGAATATTGGAGAAAAGAGGATTTCTGAGGGCTTTTTTTTTTTCCCCATTTTTATAACAAAGGAAGTGATGCACTCAAGGAGATCTTAATTAAGTTCATACAGCCAGGCAATATATTTAAGTATTTGGTATGTTAAGGCTATGTTAAATATCAGAGCAGGTTTTCTGAAGCAAAGATATTGGTATTTAAATAAAAATTTAAAGAGGATCACAGTCCAGCAGTGGAAACTAGGGCTTTTTCTTAATCCAGCTATTAGTGCAGAATAAGTTAGGACAATCACCAGACCCACAGGCACTGCTGAATTTCTACTAGGTGTTAATGGCATGTCACAAAGGAGCTGTTGGTAGATTGTGGGTAAAATGAATGAACCTGCAGAGATACACAGAGTAATACTTGAATCTTCTGAGTCAATCTGCAAAAGCCACCTTCTTGTGCATGGGAGTTTATCTTTTTCTTTTTTAATAATTTTAAAAATTATGTCAGTCACCATACAGTACATCATTAGTTTTTGATGTAGTGTTCCATGAATCATTGTTTGTATATAACACCCAGTGCTCCATGCAATATGTGCCCTCCTCAATACCCATCACCAGGCTCACCGATCCCCCCCACCCCCCTCTCCTCTGAAACCCTCAGTTGGTTTCCCAGAGTCTAGAGTCTCTGATGGTTTGTCTTCTCCTCTGATATTCTCCCCTTCATTTCTTCCCTTCTTTCCTCTAATGTCCTCCATGCTATTCCTTATACTCCACAAATAAGTGAAACCATATGATCATTGACTTTCTCTGCTTGGCTTATTTCACTTAGCAAATCTCTGCCAGTCCCATCCATGCTGATAAAACAGTTGGGTATTCATCCTTTCTGATGGCTGCGTAACATTCCCTTGTGTATATGGACCACATCTTCTTTAGCCATTCATCTGTTGAAGGGCATCTCGGCTTTTTCCACAATTTGGTGACTGTAGACATTGCTGCTTAACACTGGGGTACATATGGCCCTTCTTTTCACTACCTCGGTATCTTTGGGGTAAATACCCAATAGTCCAATTGCCAGGTCATCAGGTAGCTCTATTTTAATTTTTTGAAGAGCCTCCACACTGTTTTTCTGAAGTGGCTGCACCAACTTGCATTCCCACCAACAGTGTAAGATCATTCTCCCCTCTCTCCACAGTCTCTTCAACATTTCTTGTTTCTTGTCTTATCAATGTTTGCCATTCTATCTGGTGTAAGGTGGTATCTCAATGTGGTTTTGATTTGACTTTCCCTGATGGCTAATGATGTTGAATATTTTTTCATGCGTCTGTTAGCCATCTGTATGTCTTCTTTGGAGAAGTGTCTGTTCATGTCTTCTGACCTTTTTTTTACTTGGTTATTTTTTTGGGGGGTGTTGAGTTTAAGAAGTTCTTTATTGATCTTGGATACCAGCCCTTTATCTCTAGTGTCATTTGCAAAGTTTCCATGGGTTGTCTCTTTGTTTTGTTGTCTATTGCCTTTGCAGTGCATAAGTTTTATCTTGATGAAGTCCCACAAGTTCATTTTCACTTTTGTTTCTCTTGTCTTTGGAGACGTGTTTTGAAAGAAGTTGCTGTGGCCGATGTTGAAGAGGTTACTGCCTATGTTCTCCTCAAGGATTTTGATGGATTTTAAAAACATGTTTCCTTTTCCTTGCACTATCTGACCTCCATTATAAATTTTCTTGAACTGATCTGTCACCTAAAATTTAGACAGCAAAATACCACATCTAGATATGAGAGCTTAGAAAACCTAACCTCAAATCTAGACTCTGGCCCTTAACAGCCTCTTTCCTTCTTCTGTACAGGAGGCCATGAGGACGCTGCCAGGCAGGGCAGTATTGTCCTTAGAATTAAACATGACAGCAAATGTAAAATGTACATACAGCAAGGGGATTAGAAGAGATTAATCTTCACAAATGGTATTCATCTTCCCTTTCCCTTTCCACTCTCCCCCCAGGATACCTTTTGAAAGATTCCAGGAGAACCTTCGTTTCTCAATGTCCCTGCTACTGATAGTCACCTGACCTGCCGGGCTGCCTCTGCTGCTTGTCTCATTCACAGATGGAGAAGGTAGGAGTGGGATAGCAGAACAGGAGGAATGAAGACTAATCCTAAGGCTTACAGAAGTGGATGGGAATGGGCCTCACTCTTACGCTAATGGAGTTGGGGGGAGTACACTGCTCCCCCACACCTCACTTACTAGTGGGAGAGGCTACTTTGCCTCACAAGCAGGAAACAGACTACACCTTTGTCTTCACTGCCCGCCCCATGCATGAGGTTATGAGAAGCCACCCACATCCTTCATTTTTCTGCCACCACGTACATCATACACCTGGATTGAGGTCCAAGGCCCATCTTACTAGAGGCCCAACTGTTTTTTTAGGCAGGATGGACTTGTCTCTTAGTTACAGTGGGCACAGTGACTAGGGCTGAAAATGCTTTTAGGAGCCACAGAAATGTTTTAGTTGCTTTTAAAATGAGAAGGAAAAAAATGATTTCTGAGGTAAAAAAAAAAAAAATCCTGTTTTAATACGTGCTAGTAACATGTTAATCTTTATACCAACATAGTCATGAAATATAATTTTTGCTTTTATTTTGGAGGGAGGTTCCTACAAAGACAAAGGTACGAGGGTCTATGAAAGTTACAATGTGGCCTACTGGTCAAATTTCATTACTCTTTTTTCTGTTGATGACCTGGTAGAATCAAACCTGCAATCCCCATCTTGACAGAGTCTGCTCAGTAGCACCAACCTCTCCCATGTGGGAAGGCAGATTAAGAGGTATTACCTTGATTTTAACCCAAGGAATTGTTTCTACTAGATTCATACTAGACATCCTTAATGGCCATAGAGTGTTTGCACATTAACAAACCTAATTGTTGGGCTTTTCCTTTTTGCTTTAGTTATTCTTTCAATCTCCTCTATCAATTTACCGTGTCTGTGTTACATCAAGTTAAAGCTGGTAGACATCAGAGATGTTCTAGTTCTCCATAATCTCCAAAAGATTTTCCCAGCTGGTTACAACCTACTTCATTCTGGGTTTGTTTGTTTTTTTCCTACATTGCTCTTTGGAATTATTTGGTCCTACTTTATTTCCATTAGAAAATGGAGATTTGTTTAGAATCTGAATTTTTTTTAATGTGTGTACATTTTTTTAGACAAATACAAGATAGTTTGTATAATTAAATCTATTTTTCCCTCCCTCATTTTCTCTGTGTGGGTCACTGTCATGACCATTTGGGGACCAGCCCCCTTGGAATTGTCCTCAGAAGTACATTAATTCCTAGCATCAAAGTTTTGATTTTTTTTTTTTTCAGTGTTCCAAGATTCATTGTTTATGCATCACACCTAGTGCTCTATACAATACATGCCCTCCTTAATACCCAGCACCGGGCTAACCTATCCCCCTACTCCCCTCCTTTCCAAAACCCTCAGTTTGTTTCTCAGCGTCCATAGTCTCTCATGCTTCATCTTCCTCTCAATTTATCCCAGTTCACTTTTCCTTTCCTTCTCCTAAGTCCTCCGTGTTATTCCTTATGCTCCACAAGTAAGCAAAACCATATGATAATTGACTCTCTCTGCTTAACTTATTTTACTCAGCATAATCTCTTCCCAGTCCCATCCAGGATGATACAAAAGTTGGGTATTCATCCTTTCTGATGGAGACATATTATTCCATTGTACATATCGAGCATATCTTCTTTATCCATTCATGTGTTGAAGGGCATCATGGTTCTTTCCGCAGTCTGGTGATTGTGGCCATTGCTGCTATGAACATTGGGATACATATGGCCCTTCTTTTCACTACATCTGTATCTTTGGGGTAAATACCCAGTAGTGCAATTGCCTGGTCATAGAGTAGATCTATTTGTAATTTTTTAAGGAATCTCTGCACTGTTTTCTGAAGTGGCTGCACAAACTTGCATTCCCACCAACAGTGTAAGAGAGTTCTCCTTTCTCCACATCCTCTCAGAAGATCTAACATGTAAATATTTATGCCCCCAGCATGGGGCCAACTACAAAATTACATGAGCCAACTGCACAAGCTAACTGTTAATCAAAATAAAGAGTTATATTGATATGAATACATTAATTGTAGGGATCTTAACATGCCACTCTCAGTAACAGACAGATCATCTAAGCAGAAAATCAACAAAGAAACAAGAGCTTTGAATGACACATTGGACCAGATGGACCTCATAGATATATACAGAACATTCCACCCTAAAACAACAGAATACTCATTCTTCTCATGTGCAATGGAACTTTCTCCAGAATAGACCACATACTGGGTCACAACTCAGGGCTCAACCGATACCAAAAGATTGAGATTTTTCCCTGCATATTCTCAGACCACAATGCTTTGAAAGTGGAACTCAGCCACAAGAAAAAGTTTGGAAGGAATTCAAACACTTGGAAGCTAAAGACCATCCTGCTCAAGAATGTTTGGATCAACCAGGAAGTCAAGGAAGAACATAAACAATTCATGGAAACCAATGAGAATGAAGACACATTGGTCCAAAACCTATGGGATACTGCAAAGGCAGTCCTACAGGGGAAATACATATTCAGTAGAATCTGAGATTTTTAGAATCAACCAGGAGTTGTACAAATCCAAGGCCTTGGCTTCAAAAAGGAAACTCAGTTGTAGCAATACTTTTCATAGTATATTCTGGCTCTAAGTCACAGAAATCTATTGAAGGGATCTTGTACCACAATTCTAAGGCATTTGATCATAATTTGTTGAGTGTTTACACAGTTTAAGCTGCCATGCTTGAGCTCAGAGGTCATATGACAGACCCAGATCTTCAGAATGGTGCAGCGCAATAGTTGATGACTGTTATGGTCTGAATTATGTCTCCTCAGAATTCTTATGTCGCAGTCTTAACCCCCAGCACTGAATGTGACCTTATTTGGAAGTAGGATCACTGCAGATGTCATTAGTTAAGACGAGGTCATAAGGGCCCAAATCTGACAATGTCTTTATTACAGGTCAAATTCGGACACAGAGACAAGCACACAAGGAAATGCCATGTGAAGATGAAGGCAGAGATTAGGGTGCTACATCTAGAATCCAAGCAATGTCCAAGATTGCCAGCAAACCACCAAAAGCTGGCAAGAGCATGACATAGATTTCTCTCTCAGTTCTCAGAAGGAACTAACCCTGCAATATATCTTACTATTAGATTTCTAGCCTCCAGAACTGTGAGACAACAGATTGCTGTTGCTTAAGCCACTTGGTGTAGGGTACACTGTTAGGGCAGCTGTATGAAACCTACACAGGAACTAACTGAACTCCTCACATAAAACGACAAATAATTATTACCAAGCAAACCTGAGCTTGTCAAGAGACATTTCTTCTACAGAAAGAAATATGTAAAAAGACACAGAAGTGCAAACCCCTAGTCAATATTTCCACTCCGAAATGAGAGTTGTCTTTTAAAACTTACGAGGGAAAGTTCCATTTTGGTTTTGCTCATCTTCACTGGAAGAGAAGGAAGTTGGATTTTTCCATTAACACTTCACACTGCCTTCCTCTCCAGCCTGGGTGGTGACTGTGCGGCTGTCAGCCCTCTTCACACCACTCAGCTGTGGTCAGGGTTGGCCTGCGGTGCTGGGTTTGGTGTGGGCCTTTCAACAGACTCATTTATTGGCAGATATCCTTCTACCACAGAGAGAATTTTTTGACCAGGTTGTGGCAATTTGCAATACAAGGATAAACATAAAGGGAACTCTCTGTACTTTTTCATTGTAGAAATAGTCAATATTTAGTACTTAAATGATTCATTGTACTCTCCTCTGAATTGCTCTCTGGGAAGCTATTTTAAAATATAATATCTAGGTCCCCAAATAGACAGAACATAATGGCTTCTGATCAAGTCTGAAGCTGAAAGGACACTTTGTGGAGCCTTAGCATCAGAAGTAGACTGGTACATTCCCCATCCCAATATATCAGTGATGATAGAACCTGAAAAGTTTCTGAGAACAAACCTTCCCCTATCTTAACATAGAATTTTCGAACATCCTATGGGGATATCCATCTTACATAGCCATCCATGATAATATAGGCAGAAAAAAGTAGTGTAGTTAAATAAAAGGGATGGTCAGAATAGGGATGAAATATATACAAACCCAGATATACAACCAACAGCCTGAAAAACTATTTATGGCAAAAAGCCAGTCTTAGACTAACCAAGAAGACAGGGTGGGGTTAGACAACTTCTGTTATTCAAGGAAAGAGCCAGCTAAGGGACAGGTACCCAGAATTCATTCATTCATTCACTCATTCATTCATTTTTTCATTCATTTGCTTGCTCACTTACTCATTCAACACTACCAAATACACGTAAATGTGGTGAACAAATGCACTTGGGCCTTGTCTCATATTCTCCTCAGAGGCTGTAGGAGAGGCGGTAACACAAAATTAAGCCAGTATAGTACAATGGAAGAGAGGAACTCATGTTATCCTAGTTATGGAAATGCCCCTAGATTTGCCTTAGACCTTCAGGAACCAACTCCTATTTCACTAGTTACAACCTCTATCATTTCAGACTCCATGGGATATAGGTTACATGGAATAGAAATTTCCAGATACCTGACAGGTCATAAAGTACTTTCTAAACTGAAATATACTCTCTCTCTCTCTCTCTCTCTATATATATATATATATATATATATATATTTTTTTTTTAAAGATTTTATTTATTTATTTGTCAGAGAGAAAGTAAGCACTGGCAGACAGAGGCAGAGGGAGAAGCCGGCTCCCTGCCGAGCAAGAAGCCTGATGTGAGACTCGATCCCAGGACACTGGGATCATGACCTGAGCCAAAGGCAGCTGCTTAAACAACTGAGCCACCCAGGCATCCCTCAACATATTTTTAAAAATATTTTATTTATTCATTTGAGAGAGAGAGGTAGAGATAACAAGAGAGAGCACGAGTGGGGAGGAGAGGATGCAGCAGGCTCCCTGCTGAGCAAGAAACCTGATGGGGGCACCTGGGTGGCTCAGTCAGTTAAACCACTGGTCATGATCCCAGGGTTGCCCCATACTCAACATATTTGAATCTTTCTTTGTGACTCAGAAAGCCAAGATTAGGAAAATACTGCTTAACAGTGGTGGGTTCATTACCTTTGCTACCGGGTTCTCAGAGGAACTTGGTGATGAAATGAAAAGGAAAATGACATTCTTTCATTTAAAGTGCTCAGGAAAATTTAGAGTTTAATGTGTTTTTTCTCCTGATTTTTTTCATTCATAACTCATCCCTCTCAGCTAATCCATCAGTAGGTCCTAAGGATTTTCACTGGGAAGCACATCCCAGATTCTAAATGCTTCTCCACCTGCACTGCAACCACCCAACCCTAGGACACCATTGTTTTGCACCAGACTACTGTTTTAGCTGCCTTCACTATTACACTCCCGCCCTAGCAATGCACTACAGAATGAACTTTTAAAACCATGTATCATATCATATCAGCCCTTGGTTATAATCATTATGGCTCTTATCAAGTTAGAATATCCTTGGAATATTCTAGACAGAACTCTAGATAGAATACACTGGGGCATGCAAAGCTCTATACAATCTAGTACCAGCCTGCCTTTCTAACTTTTGTGACACAAGCTTCTCCCTTACTGAACTGTCATTCTGTTCCTCCAATATACACATTATTACCTCAGGGCTTTTCTGTTAGCTGGTTTTTCTTCCCCTAGCTCTCAAATGGATTGCTCTTGTCATTTGGGTCTCAGCTTAGGGGTAACTTCTTCAGGGAGATTTACCTGATCCTCAATACCAAAATAGTCATCAGGGTACTATCCCATCAACACCTTCTACTTTGCGTCGCACTTACCCCTCTCTGCTGTATTTCTTATTCATTTTTTTCTGCCCTTTTCACAGAACTCTAAGTTCCATGGCAGCAGAGATCTTGTCCTGTCTTGATCACTGTGCCCCAGTACACTGCACATACAAGGCCCTCGACCGCCATTTGTTGAATGACTAAATGTGCTTCTGTTTTACAGTTTGCTAAGAATACTGAGTCACTTATTTCCATGGAGCTTAAATTATGCTGAAGTTACTCTATTTACTGAGTACATTAAGGATGACAGGAAAAAAAACCTTGAGCTGCCCAGCTAGGCCAACAGAGACTGAAGAGTTATTCAGATGTCAGGGCCCCAGTGACCCTATGACTGGGCTCCCCCTCAACCTCAACTCATCCCTCCAGTGCTCAGAAACTTATCTACCTTCTTTGTTTCTAGAGTTCCTGCTACTCTTGATGACGCCTTTTGGGAGTCCTCCATTTGACCTCCCTGAGTGAGAACTGATGAGGACACTGCTGTTGATGAAGCTGCTGATTCAAGAGTCTTCAAAGGCCACTGTCTCACCTCAGGTAGGCTTAAGGTTAATGTTCAGCCTCCATGAAAACAGCTGAGGCCAGGATGACAGGGATGGTGTGGAGAGAGGAAACTCCAAAAAGGGGTGTGGGTGAAGCAGCCATTCTGAGCCTTCCCAAAGAGGAAAACATTGTCAAGCAACTCTCCTGTCTGCAGAATATATTGAAAGTTCTAAAATATATAAACATAAAAATGGATGATGAAACAAGGGACTGGCCAAATTCCCAAAGGATAAGGCAAATACATTCCGAGGACTCATCCTAATTCTGATCATTTCCCCCAAATTTGTCATCAAAATGTGCAAGCTTGAACAATATTTTATTTTTTTAATAAAGTAAGTTGTTTTTTAATAAAATAAGTTGTTTGCAAAATATTTAACAACCAATCATAAATTGCCCTCACATAAAAATATGGTCAGCTGCAAACTTGAAGAAAATGGATATAGAATTGTTTGCAGACTGAAACAACAGTGCTAAATTTTAAGCGTTTTCAGTTTAGGAAAATGGTACATTTGTTTTTAAAGATTTATTTCAATGTAACCTCAGTGGAGAGCAGTTTGGCACAGCATTTCTCAATAAATTAGTATATGTGAGCAAAACTGTATCTACAAGAATATTCACTGCATAATGATTTATAGTAGCAAAAGTCTAGAAATAGCCTATAATCTTATAAATAAGGGACAGATTAAATAAATTATCGTACATTCCTAAAACAGAATACTCCGCAGCTACTAAAAAAAAAAGTGAATCTATGTATATTGATACTGAAAAAAATCTCCAAATATATGATTAAGAAGTGGAAAAGCAAGGCGTAGAAATGAGGATGCCATACAGTTATTTATGTGGAGAAAAAAATGTGGGTTTTTAAGAGAGAAAAAGCTGGTTGGGGTGGGAGAGACACTTACTTTTAATCTACAAGCTTTTTCATGATTTGATTTATTAAAATCCAATTCATATATTGCTTAGAAATAGAGAAAAAAGAGGACCTCATTTTCATATTGAGCAAAAAAAAAAAAAAAAGAATAGTACTGGCTTTCCACTGAGTTTAAAAGAAAGAGAGAGAAAAATCTGAATATTCAGTATTTCTTACACTGAGAAAAATTAGCCTGTCAGTACCTAAAGAATATACTCATTCTCTGCCATTTTGCCCATTCTGTTCATATAGTTTATAATAGGAAGGGCTTAGAAATAGAAAATCCCTAAGTACAGTATAAAGATGAAAAGCATTTGCAATATAGGAAAGTGCCTAATACCAAAGTGTGTGTTCCCAGAGGAAGAACCAGCTAGACACAGACTCTCATCATATCATTGGGCCCTCTGGGGCATTTGTACGTGTACGCAAAACAAATTATATAATACCCCAATTAATGTAAAGAATGCCGTGCAATTCTTCTCTCCTTGAGCTATTACAACAGAATAAATAAATGAGATGTTGGGCTTTACACAACTTGCATGACCTTCATCCTTTATCCTCTGCTCTAATACTTACTTGTATTATCTTTGGTGTTACTTAATGAGATAAAACAGGGCATTACAGGGAAATTCGTATTTCCAGTTAGGATAGTATTGTAAATTTACTATTTTAAACACCCCGGATCTTTCATACATGTAACAAGGTTGGATTTTTACAAAAGAGAAAAAAATTCAAAACACATAGGTATGATTTTAAAATAGAAAAATATGTTAGACGTTTTCACAGAACAGAAGAGGGGCATCCATTAAATAGAGAAAAGGTGAGCTGAAGTTGAGACACTTGGTCTGCGGATCTTGGAGACTCTAAGTCTGGAAGCTGGCATTTTGAAACTTGTGGAACAATGGGAATTAAAACCGTCTCATGTAAGGTTGAGGGAAATAAAACTGAAGCCCAGCCTACCTTCTAAAATCAGAGGCTGGGATGGATTGGCCTCCCCTCTAAAGGAGGCCAAAATAAAACTATTTGCTACGATTATCTTTGGCTACAGCTTCTAATATGCCATGTGTGTGGGGAGACAGGACGGAGAAAGAGAGCCTCCATGCCAGCAACGGCACTCGGCTGTTTACCAGCTTGGGGAATGGAGGTGTAATTATTTTCAATATTTTCCAGCATAAGATGCCATGAATATCCAAGAGCAGCCTGAATCGGAATTCTGGGTCCTGAGGAAAAGAGTGGTGGCAACCATGAAGCCAGTAATCAATGCTGGAGGGTTGCCAAAGGGAAGAAGAAAAAAAAAAATACTGTTGCTTGAGATGAGCTTTTAAATAGTCATTCCAGGGCACCTGGGTGGCTCAGTGGGTTAAGCCTCTGCCTTCGGCTCAGGTCATGATCTCAGGGTCCTGGGATCGAGTCCCGCATCGGGCTCTCTGCTCAGCAGGGAGCCTGCTTCCCTCTCTCTCTCTGCCTGCCTCTCTGTCTACTTGTGATCTTTCTCTGTCAAATAAATAAATAAAATCTTTTAAATAAATAAATAAATAAATAAATAAATAAATAAATAGTCATTCCACATATAAGAGGACTCCAGATGCCAACAAAGTCAGCAACTTGGAGATCAGTTTATCTAAGGACAAAGACAGTATGCCCATCTGAATATTAGCTTAAGTTTAGTGTACGAAGTACGCTCAAAGAAAGGGAGAATACCTCTTCCCTAAAATACTAAACAGAAACAGTCAAACAGAGAATTAGTAAATTAAAGCACAGTCCTAAGGAATTGATCCATAGCATAGTGCAGAGAGAAGAAACAGACTGAAAAATGTAAAAGTGGCTGAGAGACATGGAGGCTGCAGTGTATCTATCAGAGGCCCCAGGAAAAGGGAGTAGAGAGAAGATGAGAGAGGAACAACATTCCAAGGGGAAATGGCAGAAGATATCATCCAGAATTAGAGAAATATTTCCTTTTTCAGATTTAAAGTGTACACACAGGACTGAGATAAATAAATAAATGAGCCACAAAAATCCAGACCCAGAAATTGACTTGATATTTTATGTCAAGTATAAAAAGAAAAAAAAGTATAAACTACCAGATCAAGAAGATAGATGACAATCAGAATAAAAGTGGATTTCTGTCAACAACAGTAGATGTTAAAAAGCAATGGGATAGATGGATTCCAGGAAGACTATGGATTCAGAAGCAGGATAAGTCTTTCTCTCCATATAGACAACAACAGTGCTTGCAGAATACGTATATTCAACTATTTTGGAAACCTGGAGTCTGTGAAAGGCTTGCCAATTTCCAGGGGGAGTGTTCCCACTGTGTGGGGATGTAACTGGTACAGCCTCTGTAGAAAAGAGTATGTCAGTTCCTGAAAAAAATGTACTATATGTTCTAGCAATTCTACTTCTAAGTTATATTCAGAAAATTGATGGGGCGTCTGAGTGGCTCGGTCAGTTAAGTGACCGAGTCTTGATTTTGGCTCAGGTCATGATCTCAGGGTTGTGGGATAGAGCCCTGTCCTATACTGGGCTCCATACCAAGCAGGGAGTCTCTCTGAGATTCTCTCCCTCTTCCTCTGCTCCTTCCCATCCCCATACGCTCACAGTGCTCTCTCTCTCTCTCTGCCTAAAAAAAACAAACAAAAATAAAAAATAAATAAAATTTTAAAAATATTGAAAGCAGGGTCTCAAAGAGATATTTATACATCTATGTTCATAGCAGCATTATTTACAATATTGAAAATGTGGATATAATACAAGCATCCATCAATGGATAAACACAATGCGCTAAACACATACAATGGAATATTACTCAGTCTTAAAAAGGAAGGAAATTCTGATACATGCTACAACATGGATGAATCTTGAGGACATTACACTAAGTGAAATAAGCCAGTCAGAAAAGAACAAATATCTCCAGTAGTTAAAATCATAAAGACAGAAAGTAGAATGGTGATTGTTAGGGGTAATAGGAAGTTATTATCTAATGGGTACAGTTTCATATTCTGGAGCTGGATGGTGGTGATGGTCGCATAACAATATGAATGTACTTAATACCAGTGAACTGTACACTTAAACATAGTGAACATATTATATTTTACATTAAGTGTATTTTACCACAATAAAAAATATTATAAAGGGGAAAAAAAGCAATAGGATATTTTCAAAGCACTAATAAAAATAACTGACAATGTAAATTTTATAATCTTTGCTTCAAGAGTAAGATATAAAGTATGAAACATTTGAACAAATACTCATAAGTGTGCTGATAAGCCATTAATCGATGTGCATCATACACACAAAAAGAAACCTGGAATAAAGACACGAAATGTAAAGAATAAGGACACCTGTGCAAATTCTCACAATATGTTAGTGTGACAGGTTGCATCTGTCAAGCATGGTCACGGCAACACTTTGTTGCCTGCTGCAACGGTCCTTGCTGTTGGAGAACCTTGCCATACCTCCACCAAGAGACTGAGTCTATGTTCCCTCCCTTGAACCTGAGGAGATCTTGTGGCTACCTTAATGAGGAAGCAACAGGAGAAGGGGCACTGTGTGACTTCTGAGGTATGATAGGGCTTCTGCGGGGTTGTTTCTTTCCTGGGTACTTGCCCTGGGAACCCAGCTACCATGCTGTGGGAAAGCCCAAAATAGCCTATACCAAGAAGCCACATGGAAAGGAAAACAGAGAGAAACTGAGGCCAACAGCCAGATTCCAAAGGAGGCCTTAAAAAGTGTGAAACAATGACACACTGTCTCTAATTTGCCCTGCTCCAATTCTTGCATAATACTCACATTTGGTTCTTTATGCCACTAAGTTTTAGAGAAATTTGTCACAGAGCTATATGGACTGGAACAGTTAATATTGTTAACTGTTGACTGTTAAAAAGATTTTGGTAACTACTACTAATGATAAAACAGTAAGGAAAATTGAGAAAGTAGAAGTTGTTTAGTAGACAAGTTTCTTGCTTGATTTGGGAGAAGGGTAAAGATATTTAATAAATTCAGACTGATGATATTTTATTTTTTTATTTTTTAAAGATTTTATTTAAGAGAGAGAGAATGAGAGAGCACATGAGGGAGGAGGATCAGAGGGAGAAGCAGACTCCCTGCTGAGCAGGGATTCCCAATACAGGACTAGATCCTGGGACTCCAGGATCATGACCTGAACCAAAGGCAGTCACTTAACCAACTGAGCTACCCAGGTGCCCTCTGATGACATTTTATAGTTAAGTTTTTGTGCTAAGAATTTGAATATAAACATTTAAAAAGAACAGAAATGCAATATATAGTCTAATCCAGCAAAAAGAAAAAGGTGGGGGAGGTAATAATGAACTCTCACGAATGAATACAATCAGA